CCCTCACTGGTGTGAACAGGAACATCTTGCAATTTCAGTTTTAGATACTGCGGTTCCCCTTCATCTGCGTGACTGAACGTTGGTACATATTGACAAGGGGTTTAGAAAATGAGCTCAAGCAAACCCTTTCAGAGCATTCCGTACAAATTGACAAAAATATGAGAAGGTGGTATTCGTGTTCAGGATTAAAAAATGATATCATTAATAAGATTATTATAAGATAATAAGTTAAGATAAACAAATATGCAATGAGCGCTGAATAGGGCTGCTTTTTCTTACTCCTTCTGCACTCCTGATAATCAAATGTGATACACTTAAACAAGACTACATCACTTTCTAATGTGTTGTGACATTTTTGGACAACATTATGAAATTTGTTTAAATGCAAGTCTGCCCTGAAGCCTGATTTCTGAACTCGCGTGCCATTACAACACGTGACATGTGCTGTCATGTTTGCCAGGCACTGGTTTCTGAAAAAAGGACACAGAAAACCTGCGGTGACTATTACAAAGTAGTGGTGTTTTTTATACTTTTTGTATTCCATTTTTAGCACACTTACTTCCTCAATGTGGATAAAAGAGACAGGTCCGGCCTCTTCGTCATCATCACCCTGTTTCGACCCATTAGCTCCTGAGAACCCCAGTCAAGCCCAGGATGGGCCCTGTGAAAAACTGACATTTTAGAGAAAACAGAGCAACTCTATCAGAGTAAAAGGTGAAGACACAAAGCAGCCAGGGAGATGACATAATAATAAGCATTTCTTTTACATTAGTATTAGTATGAACCAATAAAGGAAGACATTTTGAAGAGCTAACGCTTTGAGGTTTTGCCCTCCCTAAACCCCTTGTGCCTGCCAGTATTTCACATAGTAGAAAGTATGGTTCTCACAGGAAATGAGTGTGTCAGAAGTACTCAGACCCTGCAGATTACAAAACCTCTCAACAGCAGGCCTGCATCTGCAGGGAGACGATATTAATCCCCCTCTGGTCTTTTCACCTCTGGATTTTCTGCTCTTAAAGACTGTAACAGGATGAACTTCTCCTTGAAACGTGCAGCACATGTCGAAGGGCCAGGCTCCTTCTGATATCATCAAATTACGTGATACGTAACTATTATATATTTAACTTTTCCTGTGCTATGTGACTAAGAGCACAGAAACAAATCAAAAGAATACCACAATATGTCTATTTCAAAATATACTTCTTAAAAGGGAAGTACGTTCAATAAATACCTTCCGTTTTCAGATCCCTTAAGCTGACAGAGCTGATATAAATGGATTTGGGGAAACAAATCACAGATAAACCATAAATTACTGTCCATAGCAAGCAACACATAGACCAAAAGCTTCCACACCAAAAACAAATGATGAGTACACAGATAAATGGTTAAGAGCTAAATAATCTGTTTTATCTTGTGCTACACTAACCAAATGTGTTATGAAAATCAGCTCCATTGGTAAAATTCAATATTATGAACTGATTGAGCCCCAAGAAATTTTGTTTTGGAAAGTAATGTATTTTGAACTATTTCACATCATTTTCTTATCTCCTGCAGTTTCAGTAGGAATAACAATACCCAAGTATTAAGTGTCCTGAAAGGATTTTGGAGTGTTTAGTGAAATTTGTCTTAACCCTCCTGGCTGAGGACGAGGATGCTGGGACCCCTGCAGAGTGAGGAGTGACCAGGGGGCAGCTGCAGAGGGGGAGGTGGGATGCAAAAAGACATATTTTTTGGAGAGAAGGGATCACATATTTATAGTGTTTTAGGAGAAGAAATTACACCTGATTGAACGTGGTTGTCGTCACCCCTCCCAAACGTTCGTTACAAACTCCATTAATAAATAGTTTATGCAGCCTTGCTGTAGGCCCCTAATATACTCACCAAGAGACCAGGGCTAAACTATGAACTATTTCTCCACAGTAAATAATCTTTTATCATCATCTGACTGGATGGATCGGTTTCTACAATGCACTTCTGTTGGAAGGGATAGGACAGTACCTCGTTAATAACATGCAAAATTATTTCAAAGAGTATAAAAAATGACAAAGAGAGGATATACAGTACTAAATGAATTGTTCTGTCTAATAGAGAAAAAGTAATTGGAATTGTGACTAACCTGACTTTTCCTGGTCTGTTCAGCAGTTCATACGTCTCGAAATCTTAACTCCCCCAGATTCTGCGCAGGTTGTACAGCTGGTGTCATTGAACTTGCTTGTCCACGACAGGCATGAATGTTCAAATATCCTCCCTAGAAGTCACAAACATCTCGTCTAGGCAGTTCTCATCACAGCAAGGCACTCCTCCAGAAACGCTGGCTTCAGATGCTGAGGGGACTTCACCTGTCTGATCTAACCAGTACTCTTCAGAACGATCTCCGTGCTCAGGAAGAAAAAGAGGAAGAATGTGCACCTCCACTCCACCCCTGTCTTTTTCCATTCTACACACGCAATCGATGTTTTCTTTTTGGTCATAAAAAATCCCCAAACTAAATATATATCATTAATGAAACAGAAAAAAGGCTAGCACAAGAAGCTAAAAATCTTTATAGTGAGACAAAAAGATAGCACTACAAAGCCTTTCAGAAAAAGCATAGGAACACAACTGAAAAAGAGCCCGATTTATTTAAATATCTTACAACAGCCATAGAATAATTAAAACTGTCAATTTTTACTTTTACAAAAGAAGGACAAAAATTCATGCAGGTTCCAAACATTAACAGACTGATAAAAACTACATAACAGTCTCTGTAACTGAATACTCCAGTTTGAGCCAAATGGATTTGCTTGACAAATCCTCTTAATTATTTTAGAACTGTAGCAAAAAAATGTAGAGAGCACAATATAAAACATTAATGTATGTGACAGTGTAATCTCTCAACTTTGAAACAAACCAGAAAACAACACAAAGACTATTCTGTTCCACTAGATGAGAGATAACCCCATCATCATCACACTGGGCTTGCACATCACATCATTCTTCAAATTAAAGACCTGTCACCAGTTTTTCTATTTATCGTCTAAATAACAGAGTGCAGTCGTGTCCTGGCATTAATCACATTGTTCTGACAGCTAAAAACTCTCCCAGGGTTGTGAAAAATGGAGAAGCATTCTCACAATGCTTATCCCTTGGTTTTAATTGTAGCTCTTATAAAAAAATTCACAAAGCTGAGTTCACACTTTGCTGAAATAGCAGCAGGTTTCACCAGAAGAAAAACTGGTGTTAATGTAGGGATTTACCTAGAGGATGCAGTATTTTTCCAGTTTCACTTTTCAGCTGAAACACTGAACCTGTAATTCAAACAGTGATTTTGGCTTTCTCTAGACGCAGGATAGCCTCACAGGTCTCAGGGCCAGATTCCTGCAGGTCGTACGTGTGGTTTTCAAACAGCAAGCGATTAAGACCTGTGAAAATGGATCTCTGACACCTCATTCACATACTCTAGTATTTAAAAATCAGAGATGGAATGAAAACTAAGCAGCCCAGCAGCCTTTGAAGACTGGAGTTCCCCATCACTGAAATACACCTTTCAGTGCCTACAGAACTGGAGATTTCAAATTACCTGCAACACATTATTATTTGAAATCTTTAAAAACTTTAAGGAGTTTTTAAAAAACTAATTTAAACCTAATAATTAATAACCAATAATAAATCAATTCATATGTATTAATATAAAAGATTTTAACATCTAATAAAGCACATTAACAGTATAAACAGCTGTTTGGTCAATTGAGACGACTGAATAAAATCAGACAACAGCACTAGAGATTTTATATGCGCATACTGAAGCATCATAAAAATTGCTTCACAGCAGCCAGACTAGTCAGTAAGACTCTGAGGAGATGGTTGGACTGCGGGAGGAAACCGGAGCACCCAAAGGAAAGTCATGCGGATCTGGGGAGAACATGCGAACTCCACACAGATAGCACCCCAGGAATTGAACCCAGGGCCCCAGCGCTGTGAGGCAGCCACCACACCGCCCTGCAAGGTCTCCAGTAATTTGTATATTACTTTCCTTAAAAAATGCTTTTTAACACGATTGTTTCTTCACAGCTGTGTTTTATCGTCATTTGTTTTTTATACTGAAGGATTTTTGTTGGCCACGAGGGAGGACTATTTGCAGATCCAGACCTCATAAGGACCTCACATGACATGACAAGCCTAAGAAAAGTAATTGCACAACATATTCGCCTCTTCATGCAGGCCTTACATTGGATAACGAATACCTAGGCTGCCAAAACAGAAAATATGTTGCTCTGGCAGCAGCCAAATTTGACCACTGCATAGACATGATGCTCTTTTTTTTTCATACAGAAGTCATAGCTTTAGTGTGTGTTAGGTTTATAAACTAGAACCAGGTTCAGTACTGTGTCACTCCATATGGAATAAACTGAATAATATACCATCAATCCTACTATCAAACAGATTGATTTAAGGAATTCCCCCAAATCCGTCTATCAACTAGATTGAGTTCAGATCTTCCCCCTAAGAAAGACTCCTAATGGGTTCCCAAGTTGCTCATCCAATAAAGATGTCAATATGCGAAAGTACCAAGCTTTCATCATGCACAGGGACCTGAACTGTGCCATTAGCCATTAGCTGACTGGCTGGTGTTTCCCAGGTGGGCACAACAAGCTGAATGCAGCCAGGGGTGAGCTCAGGTCAGGCCACAGTTTCATCAAAATGATGCACAGCAGCCCCTGTGACTCGCCAAACAAGGGAGAATCTGCAGTCTGATCAGAGAGGACTGCTCCTTGAGGCATTAACAAGGTCTTGCAGTGTGCAACTTGTTGGCCTGATACAAGTGTTTTTAACATACCACATGCGTGTAGACTGCATCACCTGTGTGGCTGTGATCTGAGAGACCACATTCACAGCTTCAGATTCCAAATAGTGGATGATGGTGACAAGAAGAAATCAGTGTTGATTCTGTGTTGATAAAGGAGACCAGAGCTTGTGCATGCCACTGTAACTGACTGCATCCTCTGCAGTGCAACACTGTCCGACAGCACTGACTGTCTGTTGTGCCTTCAATGTATAAAAGATAAATATATGGTAATTTGTCAGCCCTTACATTTATTTCACAGTACTTAAAGATGTAAAATGTTTTTTTCTTTTGCTATTTACTATTTGATAGACTTTGAAGGATTCCCTGTGCTTTTTAGAAGCTAAATAAATTATTTAATGTCTTGACTTGATTTACAATGTAAATTACAAGTCACTAAATGGAAACATATTCAGAACATTGACAGAGCTTAATAGTAATAAAGTCACCAGGACCCAAGACTTTAAGTTGAATGTAATGCTGCCCAAGAGTATAAGGATTTATAACACACTGTAAAGCTAGTAATATGATTTGCACTGGGATGGAAATCTTTTTAAGAGCTCTGGCAACTGTCAAGCAACTACGACTTGTTGCAATCAGAATACAGACACTTTTACTTTTCTCCATACAAACATCTAAATACCATTCCTCACAGTTTCACATCTTCACAATTCTCAGTGCTTAACAGTTACTACCCATAAACAATATCAAGGAGGCAACATGTAGGATAACATGGTACACTCTAATGCACAAAGTCGTTTTGTTGGCACTACTCTGAAACACCACAGTGCAAACACAGTGCCTGGAACTGTTTCTGGACAATTTCCTGGACGAGTCTAAGTAGAGTTAAGCTTGACACACTGCACTGAAAGGGCTGTCGGTTGACGTTGTTGTTGTTCAACTTGGCATCGCAGTTATTAAGAAAAGCACCATTTACATCCAGTCACAGTTCATTTTTTATAGTGACGGTGTTCATGGAACAAAACAAAGACCACGAATTCCAGGACACTTGTGTTTTGGACATCAGTGAGCACATGGAGAGGGGTCAGCTGTCAAGTGGCGGAACCGAATTAATGTTGTGGGGCAGCCGGAACATTTTTCAACTGCAGTTACAGCAGTGGTAGAAGATTCAATACAAGGCACATGCAGTCTCTAGAAACTATGGAATGAGGACATCAGATACTGTTTCCACAGCTGTGCTTCAACACCGAGCCACCATTAGAGATACTTTGAAGATGCAGTAAACTCTTGGGGCTGAACGTCATATTGGTGCGAAGGCGGTCTTCCAGAATGTTCTACAACACGTCCATCAAGAAGGCTGAGACAGTAAGGCCCTCTGTTAGTCAGCAAAATCCCCCGATCCCCAGTTTTTACCTGAGATTCTGCACCCCGGGCACCGACACAAGGTGATTCATTGTTGCGAACTAAACAGCAGCATTGACAGTATTCAGAAAAACAGGTCTCAAATTGCTGTTCGATGCAAGTTATATTTTTTAAATGAGTAAATGCATAGACGTTGATGCTGAAAAAACACGCTGTCAAGCAATTACAAGTAATAAAAAAAGGAAATCTTTATACAACTGTAAGATTGAGGTGCTAAAAGAGATTCTTCAGTTGTAAACCTTCCTGTTTTTTGTTGGTTGAAGCAGGCCATTCAGAAAGTTCAAATGTGGCTCTCACAGCAGCCCACTGGCATCACTGACAACCATTTGGCATTTAAAACCTGTAAAATTGAACTGTCGCATTTCTTTCATCTGTCATGTGAAAACAGATAAGATTCCTCTTTAAGGTTAATTACTGAAAAATAATTTAGGAGTTAAATCTCCATGCAATATTTCTATCACATTTAAGTTTTAATCTTAATCAAATAAAGTTTCAATGTAGAGAATTCAAACGTTCAAACAGTATGACTCCAAAATAAAAAAAATACATATACTAGTAGGAGAAAAATATTGTAATTAAAAATGAATTTGAAATAGCCTTTTATCTGTTTAGGAAAAGAGATGCTCTCATAGCAAAATCCCTGATTTACATTAATTTTTGAAAACAAATTGTTGTGGTTAATTCAGAAAAAGAGCTCGAAGTGCAGTGCCCAGGCTTAACAAGTGATACTGTCCAACAGCAGTGGAACACTCGCAGAGTTACTTGTGTGAAGGAGTGGGGTTGGGCAGGTGCTCCATCTGCTCACAAAACAGCCATTTTTTTTCATCTTAAAAGTCTCAAATGAAAGTCTCTCTTTTGAAAAGTCATGCTGCGTCTTGCAGGAAAATAAGATCAAGAGGGAAAAAAAATCCCTTTCATAGGTTTAAAACACGTCAAGTTGCTCATACATGAATAACCAAGAAACCGGACTACTAAAAGACCCAGCGCTCACTTAAAGAAGGGGCTGAGGGTGGAGATGGAGATGAGAGTCTGGCAGGTGTTGGAGGAGAGCCACACCATTTCCACCAGGTAGTAGTGGAGGAAGCCCAGCGCGAACCCGCAGCCCACGTCCGTCAGGTGGTGCCGGCCCAGCATGACCCGGGACACGCCCACCAGGAAGGCCCAGATCACCAGCAGGATGCGCAGCGGCACGGCCAGCACCAGGTGGTTGAGCAGGAACTTGGCCACCATGGCCGCGCGGCTGGCATGGGCCGCTGGGAAGGAGTAGACGTCCATGGCGACGTAGTCCAGGAAGCTGGGGCTGATCTCCCAGGGGCCTTTGCGCTTCACCAGCTTCTGAACCCCGGCCACCGTCATGACGTCCAGGACCAGCGCTGGGGAGGGACGGGGACGGAGACAAGAATGTGAGGAAGGGAGATTAAACGATTCACTCCTGCGGATGAGGAAGAGGGGTTAAAAACCAGCAACATAGGTACAGATGCACTGCTTTAGATAAACATCTGGCAGTGAAGAGTTTCTGAAGTTTAATGGCCAGTGTCAGGAAAACAAAAGCATTGGGCCTTATATTTAAAACGCTTGTGTATTCACGAGACGCAAGGAGTCGAACACCTCCCGTGGCTGTGAGGACTCACTCGAGCCACCTGACCAAGCTGCCTGCTGCTAATGGACAGGCGATTATTGCATCTACACAGGATATTTAAACCCTGATCGGCCACTGATTCGGTGCTCTGTCATCGAGCTGCCTTCTGACCAGCGTAACTAGCCCAGTTTCCCAGAAGGACTAAACCTGAATCGTGCCCGAGTGTATCTCCATCTGTCTCTATCTTGTCCTGTCTGTCAGCTCCCCCTCTGTCCACCTGAGCACTGGACCAACAGCATTGATCCAGAACTCCTGCCAGCCACCCTGCCTTGATCGGCCCTGCAAAGTGCTCTTGCCTACAATCATAGATCACTGCCATCGCCGGTCCTTTCGGCAACATCCGCCAGCCTTCGCTCTCCAGCCTGCTCCGGCAATCTCTGTCTGCTCTCGACTCTCCGAACCTCCGCTGGGATCAGGCTTTTGGACTCGGTTTTCTTCATCTGCTTGTCGCGTCATAACACACGTCTTAGAAAACAGCACATCGAACTAGTCCTGGATTTAATGCAAATGAGAGCTGGATGAAGTTATGCTTAAGATCTGTGTAGCATACACACACATGCTGATTACCACAGCACGGGCAAATGCATTGGGTCTGTGCTGGATCTAAATCTGGCCCTATTTCATTCGAGCTCAAAATAGCCCCTCAAGCAAAGCCCTAAGAATTAATCTTTTTAGCTGCCTACAATCCCACTGCAATCAGCACCTCTTCTGGCTAGATACCTACAGTCAAGACTTAGAGCGTCTGTATATCCCATCCAGAGAGTTTGGACTGGCCCCCAGTATCGTGTGCGTGACAGCAGTTGAATTGTACTTCAGTATTGTACACCTACAGTACATGTCGTAATGAAACTTCAGTTGCTTCCACCCATCACTGTCTCAACACTGACCCAGCAGTTCTCTACGGCAACAGAGAACAAAATTATTAGATCACAGAAAGAGTTACAAGAAAGAGCAAGGCTGCAAAAAAAAGCAGGGGCCCATGCTTAAACATAACTGGAGAAGATAGAATTGCCTGTGGCAGACACAAACAACTGCTTTCCACAAAAAAGGTTAACTACTAAAAATAACAGAGAAATGGGAGCGAGGTCTTTTAGTTTTGCAGCTGCGCTTAATTCTATTTAATTTTCAGGTCTTCTAGGGTGTGTGAGGTTTCGGGTGCGTGTGGGTATTTTGGAATCTCGGGAAAACCTCTCATGTTTAAAATAAAACCCTTCAAAAACAAATATGCATGGTGTTAAAAATGTAAATTGAAACACTCTGTTGAATTGCTCTGCACAGAGATCAATACACAGATGAAAAGATTAGATACAAAATGCACTGCTGTTACTACACAAAGGACCTGATCATTTAATAAACTCAAACCAATCAATGCCTGAATCTTTAAAGACCAGTAAGGATGGCATTCTCCATAATACTGCAGCAGACTTTTAGAGATGTTTGTGTAGGCTGTTGTACTATTGATTGAATTCACTTTAATTTACTTCTGTACATATATTATCAAGGTGGAAGCCATTAACCACGGGCATGATTCAAAATCGCTGGAAAAATAACCTGGGATTCTAACGTAGATAAAACTATTCATCTATTTGATCATAGCAGTGTTGTGAAGCAGCAGTCAATTTTCAGAAATGAATAGAAATACGATTCTGTTTTCATCATATAACATTAGCTCACCCACACTTTCCAGAAAATGAAATATATTTGCCAGACAGTTCAAGGTTTTTAGTTTATGATGAGTAATTTTCCCAGTGCAAAGAAGAGGGTTTAATATAAAATATAATTACTTTCCAGGCAAAGGTATGCATGTCCTTCACTTCCAATAAAGAAGTCCCAGATGGTCCCATTGCCCCTAACGTATTGATGACCTTTTCTCTTTCCTCCTTCTCCGACTATCTGTTCATTGACACGAGTGCTGAGATTGCTGTTAAGCAAAGCCACCACTGGATTCCTGTCAGCTTCGGAAAGGGTTGGTATGTGGCTTAAAGGTTGGTACAGTTAATTACATGTTATATCATAATTTAAGAAATGTGCTGGGGAATCATTTAAGTGCTGCACAATGCTTTAATCCTCATTTTGAGACGCAGCTCTGAAGGCTGCCAAACACAGATACTTTCGCTAACCTCATGCCTTCCATTCCGGCACTGCAGAAGCAAAACCAGGATGTCTGGCACAGTGCTGGGGAATAATAAAGTCAAGGCAGCTACAGAGCACAACTGATATAAACAGCTAGATATCAAATCCAGAAGCATACTAAAAGATTACACTTCCAGTGCATTAAAAAGACATTACATTGCACCACTAATTTTAGTTTTACTGAAAAACTCTTAATCCTGACAGTGACTAATTTATTTCTCATTAGTTTATTAATGCTTGGAAGAGTATCTGATATTCCTACAAGCCCAATAGCTGAATTTGCAGTCTCATATGTAACTCTGCAGAATACACAAATAGGAATATAAACTATAATATGGAAACATAATGCTGCTGTCTTCAAAGAGCACTGTTAAAACAAAAACATCTACTGTGATACATTTCACGGCTTGACAATTGCATTATTTGCTTGAATGTATTTACTGTATTTCCTGATATCTGGAAACAAAAACCTCAATATTAAAAATTCTTGTTTTACTGAGTTTTTCTACAGCACAACATTTCATACAGATAATGTTCGATCTACGTCTTTCGTACATATGCTTTGGAAGGCACCAATGTAACTCATTCATCCACAGAACGAACCTGTAAGAAAACCGGTTAGGCCAGAGGTTTAAAAAGCATGAGACAAAGTCAACACTGTAATCATTAAAATAACACTTGGTGTTGACTTACAAGAAAGTGCTGTCAGCAAATCCACCAGCGTGTTGCTGAAAGCTGGAAAAAGTGTCACGTGCCCCCAGTCAGTCAGACAGCTAATCCACACTCTTCTATTCCCATATCTACTGACCCACAAACCTAACTGGAACCATGCAGCAAATCCAAAAACGTTCAAATTAAATTTGCAAAGTCGATGCCTTTCAAATTGAAGCAGCATAGCTTTGCTTCCACAGATTTAATTCATATAGATTTTTTTTCCGCACAGTGCTGAAAAGTTGCGCACGGTATTCTCCTTCAAATGTGAAACAAAGGTGATAGGAGCCATTGTGCCCACTGGATATGAAATACTGTGATGCCACCTGCCAGATCGATTAAAGATCCTAGGATGAGCAAGAGGAAATTTAATAACCAGAACAGAGAAAAATGTTACATCAGCAATAATGGCTTGGATGCTTAGAAACACAGCAAGAATTATGATTTTGTCTACCAATTGAATTCTGGATGTAAAACCTCTTCAGGAGATATTTTAAAATGAGCATAGCTGGAGCACTATAGCCTGGACCACACTGGTTTAAGCCAAGAGGGGCTATCTGTGATGGGGTATTCCCTGGAGGTGGTGCCCAACTGGCTGAGCGATTCCAGAGATAGGGAAGCTTGATTGGGCCAGATAATGCTTGGCTGGGATGTGTGGGGGAGAGACACATCAGTCCTTCAGTCAGTGCAGACTCCCCAGCAAAAACAATGCAGAAACCTAAGTCACGTCCGAGCCTGGCATATACGTCATACCAAGCAGGTCGACATTCAACAGGCATGTCAGAGTACAGCGCTCATAATCCATGTGTGCTCTGGGTTGGTGCAGTTAAAAAAAGAGCACGAGGAAAAGTGAGAATCGAGATTCACGCTGCAGCCCCAACACTTTCATTGTGCATCCCAGCCGGAATAGAGATCCAGCTTTGGAAGACCTAGCAAGTGGCCACTGCAGGACTGTGTAGACACTTCAGCCAAGCCGTAAAAAGAACAGCTCAGAGAGGCAGCAACCAAAATACCCTAATCTGTGTGCCAAATGCCGGGAAGGCTATATAAAGACATTTTAAAGGAACACGTTTGGCACACAATGTTTAGTGCGTAAACCTCACAGACATTTTCTTCCATAACCAAGAAAATTGATTGACAACAGTTGCTATAAAAGATGAGCCTCATCCTTAACAATCCATTTTGGATGAGGCCCAAGGCAGGACTTCAGCCTTTTGCCGCAACAGGTGCATGTCCAAAGACAGAAAGGTGCTTAAGTGCCAATTTAAGGGTGGAGGGGTGGCTCTGTGGCTCAGGATCTGCACCTGTGGCTGGAAGGTTGCTGGTTCAAATGCAGAGGAATCCTACTCTGTTGGGCCCCTGAGCAAGGCCCTTAACCCCAACTGCTCCAGGGGTGCTGTACAATGGCTGACCCTGCGCTCTGACCCCAAGTTTCTCTCTCCCTGTCTGTGTCTGTGTCTCATGGAGAGCAGGCTGGGGTATGCAAAAAGTTGAATTCCTAATGCAAGAAATTGTATTGGGCTCATAAAGTGATGTCATGATGTTCTGCCTGATGTCATGATGTCAGCTTTACATCACCCTTCACACTCCACTTTCTTCAAACATTTTCCCAAAATCTCTCATCCACATAGGGAAAAAAAAAACATTGTATGCTTCCTACAATGTAATTTTACAGAAACATTACATGTACTGAATCCAGATCTATTGCCCTTCATCTGCCAGACGAATCCAATGATGGTTACCTAGTAAACTAATACAGTAGGTATTAAAAAAACTCTCATGTATCAACTCGGATGAGTCATAGGAATTACACCCCCTTGGGTCTTGAAGAACAAGACTTTCTTCCCACACATCTGTGGATGAGGTAGCTTCTACCTTCCTACCACAGGCTTCCAACTGTAAATGCAGAAATGCTTTCCAGTTGCTGTGTCCCTACTGCTATGAAAGTTTTTTTCTACTTTTTGTGGATCAAAAGGAAGACTCACAGTCCGTAAAATAAGTATTAACCGCTAGACTAAATTTAAATGTATATGATCTGTCAACGTAAACACAAATACTGTTTGCAAAACATTGCCATTCCAATATTATAATAATAAATAAATGTTGTTTTTAGCTCAAGGAAACAGAGACTTAAGACCATGTTTTAGCTTTAATGTGCATGGGGGCTGAATTCAGGTCCCTCCTTCTAAAGCAAACCAAAGGGTTCCTACACTGGTGGTGGAGTGGGGTTTGATTACAGACTGCAGGGAAACGCTGAGGCAGAAATGTTCATTAGAAACTCCATTAAAGCAACAGTCTTGACAAAGGTTTATATGTCACTGCTTCCTTTCAGTGAGTTCCTTGGGACAGGGTCACTGTTTTCATGATCTCTGAGGGAAGTGCCTCGGGGAAATGACACAAGCTGAAAGCTGTGGATGACCACAGGCAAGTGGGTGACGCCACAACGAAAGAGGAACAGGCTGATCGGGCACCAGCTGCTGAAGGGCACTGCTTGCCTTTTCCTTACCCCCACAGGCTGCCTCCTGCACTCTTCCCTTCCTGGACAGCTGCGGTCTATGGTCAGGCTCTCTGCAGTGCACCAGACTCACTGTCTGTAAGACTATGTCTTGTTTCCAGCTTTTATTTTACTCAGTTTTAGACCTTCAGGCTTTAATAACAAAACGTCTATCGGCCTTGTCTCGTAGTCGCTGACTTTCAAAGTCCCAACTGTGCAATTCCATCTGTATACCATCACGCGATATCTGTTCTAAATATGGTATTTTGCAGAGGAAGAGATACTGTATCAATACTGGGTCTTTGGCCACGGCTGTACATTAAAAATCTATTCCAGGGGTAATATCATTACTATCCAGATGTACTGCATCAGTGCCATATTCAGTAGTAGGCAGGAGCTCAGAACCAGACAAAAGCTGACTGGGGAGTTTTACAGAATCTTCATTGATCAATCATTATTATTAGGATGATAAAAATTAGTTGCATGTGTAGTGTGAAGTGATTTTGCAAAGTGCTTTACACATAGAAAGGGACACACTTCATCCACATAGAAGACGCATAGATGCCATTCTGCACCATCAGCTCCTACACTACACAGCAGATCGGGTGGAGAAGTAAGAAATAACTTTACCCATTGAATTAAGGTGGATGTTCAATTGTTCAGATGGTGCAACCTTGGTGTGGAATTTCCCCAGTGTTTACACCATGGTTAACACCTCTGCTCTTACAAAGGGTGCTATGAGATTTTTAATGAACAAAAAGTCAGGACCACCATTTAATCTCTCCCTTGAAGGACAGTCAGCGTCCCTGGTTGACATACCACGGCACTGTTTGTTCTTCGTACAATAAAGACACTCAAAGTGCTGTGTAAAAGAAAACGCCAAAAGCCAACAAAGAAGACTTGGCACACGACTGCAAGTATCGCTTTGTACTACTTCCTTGACATCAGCTGGTCTCGTTTAATATGCAGGTCTTTGACTTTAAGGCTTTGTTCTTAAATTTATTTTTTTACTGAACTAACTTTCTTATTTATTTTTAACTGGAACAAGCCTTAACCTAAAAAGATGTCTTTTTATCAAATCCGCCATAGCCTTTATTAGGGAAGGTCTCTTGGACATGGCCAAGAACAAGTTCAACTCACTAAAACTGGTCTACGCACTCCCAGAACTGTACTGTACATTCACCCATCGTTAGAAAGCCTCTGATTTCTGCTGAGGAGTGCGGTGAAGCCGAGCCTATTCCAGAAGCCTGTGGTACATGATGGCTCTTAGTTTCTACTTAATTTGTGACTTCAATTACAAGATCACATCACCTAACACTAAATGTTGTAACAGCACTTCCAAATGTTGCTAGAAAAGTATGCTTTGGTTAATTCAACACAAAAATGTTTTAGCAAGGCTTTCACTTCATAACCAAAAGAGTATGTTAATGTGAGGCACTCAGACATAACATTACAAACACCAGCGTTGTGCTTATGTTTTTAGAACACATGTAGTATTGTTTTATAAACGATATTGAGATTTGGCCAGAACGTTACAAAATCCCAGGCTGACATCAATATTGAAGCAACGTTGTGTTAATATGAAGTTTTGATTACGAGAACATTGCAAAGAATGTTTCAATGACAATGTAATAGTCAACTGTAGTGCCATAGTTTCTGTACTAAGCTGCAACTATAGTCTGATAATGCAGCAATAATACTACTTGGTTACGTGGAATGTCCAGATAGCCAACAGGACCTTCCACAGACAGGAACTGAGCAACATGATAGATCACAGGTGTAACGGAGAGTTAAAGCTTCTTCTGTGCCCAGTGGGCAGAATGTCTTTCAGTGCACATCCAGGCCAGCTGCCTTCACCCAGAGAAGGAGAAAATGCAGCTGGGATGGAGAGTTGAAATGCCCAGTATGTGGCACTGAAGTCCAGAGCTCACTCTGGGAGATGGCTGGGGTCTACGGAATGAAAGGTACCGAAAGAGGTTGCTGAGACGTGGTTTTGTATACCTTCCTGAGAAAACAAGCTGTGGGGCAGCAATACCGCAGTGTAGGATTACAGGCATCTCTGGGGACAGCTACAGCATGCAAAATGCCATATCAACCAAATGCTGGAAAATAACTCTTACCTACATTTCAGAACTTGGGAACTTGCTCTTGGGACTTTAGAATCTTCTGGTATTTTGGACAGAACAACAATTTTTAACTAGTTATTGAAAATAACGGATAGATAGATAGTGTACATAACACAGATAGTCTTGTACTATTACTGTGATCTGTTATCATCTTACTCTCCTGTATTCCTTGTGCTCCTATCAGAACTAGAAGAGATGTGTTAGGTTTTGTTGGTGTCCTAGGTTACAGAGTCCTTTCAGTGCATACTGTACAACAAGGCAACCAGATTCTGTGCCTCCGTCTATTCAGAATTCAGAGTCCGTAAATCATTTTAAAACTCAGGTGATCACTTACGATCATGGTTGGATTTCCGTTAGCTGAAAGGGTTATGTTGTACTGCACGGTACTGTACGTAGACAGTTTGTGTTTAATGGAGTTTATAACAAGTGGTTTGGGAGGAAGATTAATCCTAATCTCTTCTACATACGTACTGTAAATCTCAAACCCAGGTCTTGCCATGCAGTAAAACTCCAGAGATCGCTAGCAATAGCGATTGCCTGGCTAGACCATCATTTCCTCACCTGGGGATGTCACACCAAAAACGTCATACTTTTTACTCTGTCATATTCATCCTAACAAAAATATTGAATTAACAGCTCGTATGATTACCAGTTTTATATTTTTTCTTTCAGTTTTCTGCAGATTATATATACTGTATATAATGCCTATATTATATAATGCCTAGGCATGAAACGTGTTGTGATGGATTTACAGATCAGGCAACCTGACCCTCCTGCTTCATACTGACCACTTTCACATACATCTAACAAAATATAAACGAGCAATGTCCCTCAGCTAATTAAATCCCCAGCTGCAACTGCAGCTCTGTCATTCAGAATCTTGCAAAAACCACGCTAAGCATCCCCTCTGCCAACTACATGACTTACATCCATCCATTCATTTTTTAGCCACCTCTTCCAGTTCTGGGGCCCAGGGGAGCTGCAGCCCATCCCAGCAGGCAGCGGGCGCAAGGCAGGATACGCCCTGGACAGGACGCCAGTCCATTGCTGGACACACACAGATACAGACGCACACACACAATAATCCCTGAAACCAATAAACCTACCATTACGTTTCTGGACTATGGGAGGAAGCTGGAACACTTGGAGGAAAGTGAAAAACATACAGACTCCACACAGACAGCACCCCTGGTCCAAAACTGAACCCCAAACCTCAGGACTCTGAGGCAACAATGCTGACCACTGAGCCACAGTGCTGTGCCAACCTGTGACTTAGATCTGTAATATAATTTTATAGATGTAGTGAAATTTCTCTCTGTTTTCATGCCATTTCTTCTCAATGGACACAGTAAGTAAAAGGAAATGAGCTTATGTTCCAGAGACCTGATGAGCTGGTATTTTAGTGTTGACCTCAGGGCCAGTACTGTCACTCAAGTAGTACGAGAGGACACCCACTTGTAACAGGCGTGGTTAAGTAGTAACCGGAGATACAGAGATGAAAAATCAACTGAGGTCCTCCTATTTATACACATAGACAAATGAGAAAGCAGATGATAAAAATGGATGTCTGATTAAGCTACACAGGGCCAAGAAGCAAACCAGAGATGAAACTAAGAGAAAGAGAAAGAAGCCATACCTACTAAGACAGAATGCACGCCTTCCAGGCCACGTAATTAAACCCACACCATCTTTTCTTTTGAAATGCGGCCGCTCGCCGCCCGCCTTGTCACAGTGCCCCTGCATGAGCCAGGCCAGGGCAGTGCTTTCACGCTCTGGTCGATAGCGTCCTGTACTCACCCAACAGCAGGTTGACCAAGACCTCCTGGCCGGCTAGGGTGCTGCTCCTCGTCAGGCACAGGAGCGTGCCGCAGATCCAGGGAATCCCGTGGCCCGTGATAGCGAGCAGAGTGACCATAGACCGGACGCTGCCCCACGAGGAGGTGCTGTAGGCGCAGACCCCCAGCCGCTTGGACATGCAGATGTCTATGGCCAAGAGCGAATTCATCGCTATCCCCTTGAAGGACGGGTTGAGCTGCATGCAGTCGTCTTCCGGCAGCTTCAGAGACTCCCGCCGGTCTTTAACGTTGTCGCTCGGCTCCTGCGTGGGATAATCCGGCTGCGGGACCTGTGTGTGTTTCGCTTGTCCGGCTTGAACATTATGTCTCCGCAGGGAGCTCCTGACTTCGGCGGGGCTGTTCCTCAGCGGCTGGTTCAGAGACATGAACTCGGGTCTGTTCAGGACATTGTTCCGGTCCCGGGTTCTGGATCTGCTCTGGTGTGCGGGCATTCTGGTGGTGGTTCTGATTATTTTATTTCCCCGGTATATTTTAAGACGTCAGGCAAGTTGTCCTTTCTTCAGAGCGAGATTTTGTCCAGCGCCCGCTCCCTCTCAGCCCCAACCCCAGATATATTTAGACCACACGGAATGTATGCACATGCTGTTTACTCCGCGCTCCGAGAAAACACGAAGACGGGTGACTGACGTCTCGTTCACCCAATCCGAAAGAAGACACCCCTGGAAAAAACTCCCTGGATGTCAGTTACGGATGGGATAGCGATGGACGGAGGACTACGCTCATAGCTGGGGTATTTAAAGACTCTCTTTGCACATGAACAAAGCGACGATGCACAGCATGTCGGGAGATGTATTTCCTCCCAGTCAAACACCGTGTCCCAGGCTTGTAAAACACAGTTACCCCAGGAGCGCTGCGTGCAATCTGTGTCGTCCGAAAGACAAGAAAAAGAAAACCACGATAATCATATCAAGGCAAAGGCTGCCTGCCCCCCCCCACCCCCTCTGAGAACCGGGTAGAGATTGACATTTCGGTCTGCACCGCAGTGCTGTGCGGTGGGAAAAACAATCCCAGTTACGCGTGGAATTCTTGGGAAAAGGCGTCGGGAGGAATTTCTATTTTTATTGTCCTGGTCAGGAAGTATGCGACGCTCTTCAGTTTCTAACAGGTCCTCTTGGGTGCTGCTCGCTTGGCATTCCTCTGGGACGAGGAGCACGCCAGGCTCGCGGCGCGTTCCTGCTCTCCTTGGGATCCCTCGCCTCGCTGGCTGGCGCGCCAGCCGGGAGTTCTCCATGGTGCTTAAACCTGAGACCGGGGGGAACATGTTTCTCCGAAGCCGTGTAAGGAAAGGCGAACTTCGTGCTGACATTCCACCCTTAGCGCAAGCGAAGCACTCGGTTTGAGCTGCAGAATAAAACACTACAGCTCATCAAAATGTATTACCGCCTCCTGTTACGTGACTACAGCTTGTACTGTATGAGATCTTTGGAGAATCGCGTCACAAATGTGCCAAACAAGCATGAACGAGGAGCAAATGAGGGAGAATTCCTTACACTTCTATAAAAATAGTTATGCATTATATGACATATTAAACCCCCCCCAGGGAGTGATATAAAACATAAATACAACCGTGCACGGTAATCATGATCGGTGACAGAAAAGATAGCAAACTCTTCCTGCTTCTGTGCTGAAGCTCCAAGATATGCCATTTCCTACCATAGCGATTCCTGGGGCCACGCATTTGTATGACTAAAGACGGCTTGCGCTTGGTTCATCAATCTTGCATGACATCTTGCAGTGCAGCACCCCGCTCGGAGCGGCTCTGGAGCAGAAGTGGACTACGTTTCCCAGAGTGCTCTCGACATCAAAGGGAAGTGTCGTTTCCAAGCCGTTCGGATAAAAGCGCTGCAGCCCGAGCCGCCGGGAGGCAGAGCTGCAGGAGGGGGCAGCGAGCGCTGGTCGTGCCGGGACGAGGGCAGGGGGGAAAAGGGGCTGTCCGGGATCCGTGTCCGGGATATCACTGGCAGGGACGCGGGGCGACAGGGGAGGCTGCTCTGCAGGATTCCATTTCCCCGCAAAAGTCCTCCTGTCAGCATTAGGGCTGGAGAAGACAAGTGCAGAGAAAGTTGACCTGGTTGCCTTTGGACGCTACAGCGCACATTGTGCGGCGAAATCAATTAGAGTTGATGACATCTCGACGGGACGCTGCAATTTACTGTCAGGAGACACGGGGATTTTCAGCTGTACCTTGCGAGGGCTATGAGGAATTGATGTCCGTCAGACAATGCATTTGGCTGGAACAGTGCACGCTACTGTCTTTGATTCTAGCGCAACTATCTGAGAACAAAACACAGCCTGAAGTATCCGGCACGTGTCATGTCTCTTTTATTTCTAAGCGTCTGCGAATAGAGGTTTTGTGAAAAAAAGGGGGCAAAACACTGAAAATATATATCTTTTCCTGTTATGGAATTTGAACGTAAACGATGCAGGACTAAACCGTTACATTGAGGATTACATTATTGTATAATGAATTCAGGCAACCCAAAAACCACCAACTGTCCTAGCCTGAGCTATTTTTTTCGCCGGGGTTTTTGACAATGCAAAGCAAATCCGAACTTTCTGTTAAATTCTAAGAGCGGGTATAATGTAATTTATTTTTGAGAATGTAATCTGCGATGCAATGACTTATACAATATGTAAGAGGTTTTGATATATTTTATATTATTTTCACAGCTATGTATATGTATGCAGGTTTATTTAAGCGATATTGCTTTAACCCTTGCAACGCTAAGTCTATTAATCTTAGCCTGAAGGCATGAGATGTCATCAGTCTAATTATTACATAATGAAGACGTGGATCAAAGTATTGATTCCGCTCTCTTTCACAAGCAGAAACATGCAAACGTAGCTCAAATCGCTTTCACATCCTCTCCCCCCGTCTTTTAAGGAAACTATATCGAAAGTAAGAAAACAAAACGGGCAGCCCGTATAAGGGTGCTGAAACTTCAATCTCTTGGCGGAAAGATCGTTTATCAAACGACTACAGATTGCAAAGTTGCAGATAATCGACTTCAGTTTTATTTTATGCAACAGAGCATGTAGATCAGTCTAGCTCTGTCAATCACTATCACTTAGCAATTTTATTTTAATCCACCGGTACGTTAACGAAAGGCGTGACTGCAGCTCTCGGTGTAACTCTGTTGATTAAGGCACAGCGAACCCGAGCTCATCTGGGACATGCCTGCGGGCCTGCACAGAAACTACTGATCTCCGCTCTTCTCTGCGGCAATGGACGGAGGACGCTATAAGAAACGGAAACCTGCTTCAGAGAAGTAAACTAAGTTGTTTGTATTTTTCTAAGAAATGCCACTGAAAACCAGAACATGAGTATTATTTTTACAAAAGCCGGACCTCCTCAGCCGCCCAGTATATACCTACTGATTTAGCTCTTGTGCAGAGCGTGTGCACCAACCCGGGAGTGGATATTTGAAAAGATTGGTACAAATTTGAAACTGCAACAGGATATCTAACCACTGCGATCACGCTAGGCTACAGTATGTGCCATGAAGACCTTTTTTTAAAACAAAACTTTCCTTGAGTGGATACTAAAGCGAAACGCGAGGCTGAATCACTGTGAATATAATCTCTTCCATGCGCCTCTTGCCTCCAGAAAGCTGGACGTTCCTGTTAATTCTTGCGATAGTAAATGCAATGGGCTGTATCCAGAGTATCAGGTGTAAGCCCAAAAGTTTCCGAGAGAGCATCGCCGTTCTTGAAGTAAACTCCACCATAGACCCAAATCCCACCAGCATCGACGAGTCCTCTGGAGTGGTTCTGCGGTACAGAACCCCGCACTTCCGAGCTTCGGCCCGGGTATTGGTGCCGCCCATCGCTGCTAAGGAGACCTGGACCGTGGGCTGGATCCAAGCGTGCAACCACATGGAGTTTTACAATAAATACGGGAGTACAGGAATGTGAGTACCGCCTTAACACGCCAGCTGATGTTCACGCATTATCAGACTATCAGGCTGCACAGTGCATTATCGGGACCATCTAGAAGAGACTCGTTTCTGTAAGAAATACATACTGTAGGCCGCGCTTTGATAATCAGGAGTGACTGCAGCCCCATAAAAGCACGTTTCTGTGTGACCTCTAAGAAAGGCTTTACTGCATAAAAACTCGAAATTGAAAATGCTCAGCTCAGGCTGCTGCATCTAAAAAAACCCGTTTCAGAATCTTTTGACATCCTATACAGCCTGTATTGAATTAGTGAAAAGACGCAAATCAGATAACATTATTCCATGCCTTATTATATAAACAATTACAGTTATGTTGATTAAATGAAGACTGTATGGAGTGAAGTAAACGTTTATGCTTTATCTTACTTCAAACCCCCCTTACCCACTTTTGAAACTTCAGAAGTTTCTAGTTTCTGCACGGCGAGGGAGAAGGTCGCGCCCCGGTGTTCCTGTGTGGTTTGACAGTACGCGCAAGGTGCGTCGTGCAACAGAAGCGACCTTTAGGTTTATACCTAAACTTTAGAGTAGAAAGACCGGTGCTGTAAAAGCAAGCAGAACTGTTTTAAGACTGCTCAGCTACCAGTAAGTCTACAATATGAATATTTCATTTCATTGCACATATTTCACTCAGCCTTAAAATCATAATTGTATTACTACCACTGCTAACGTACCGGTCGTCTCATAAATAATACTACTACCACGACTTCTGGTCCTCTCCTACTGCTGCTGCTGCTTCACCCTACTGATAAAAAATATCAATGAAAACAGACATAGGAACAGTAGTTTTAATTTAACGCTGGCTTCAGAGCTTGAATTTATTTATTTATTTCAGGATGAATTAATTACATGGAGTTTGTCGCTGTTTTTCTGGCACATGGCGCGTTTTGAAGTAACATGTTCGCTGAAGAATGTGCGGTAATAATAACAACAGCAGAAGGTCTTTTTCCCTTTCTTGGAAATTGAGCCCCAACCTGTGAAGCGGCGTCGCCGGCGGTGTGCCCCTCTGAGAGAATGGGGTTATTTTCGGCCCGCCTGTGAGGTGCTAAATTCAGGATGTCAGCAGTCGTCGGCGCTGCAGAGGAAGGCCTGTACTTCGCGTTGCCTTTTAACAAGAAAGTAGATAACAAAAGCGTAAAAATTCCTGAATGGTTTTAGCTGGAGATTTACACAAGACAAGCTATGTTTTGGCACTGGTGGGGATTTTGTCAGTTTCAACATTTAAATGTGAATTTTAAGTACCTGATGAGTTTAATTTAGATTTAGAAAGGATTAACTAGGTGGACAGTGTGTTTAATAATAATCAGAGGTAGGTTTTGTTTCGTTGATTGGTTTTATTCATTAGTGCAAAAAATGACATAGGAACACACAAGTATGTCTGCAAAAGAATAAAATGTTCCGTATGATAAGACCTTTTCCTCAAGATGCTGATTGGTCTTTCTGTGGTATGCTGTCCTCTATCATGTGCTACAGGGATGCCTTTGATCCCAACAGAATGAAGGAAATGAATCTGTATTGTGAAAGTCACTTATGGTTTATCTGAAAGGTCAGTTCAACAAATAAATTAATTCCTTAAATAAGCTATTATAGCCAACGTAACAAAAAATAAACTTAAATTATTCATTTCTGACACTTGCTATCTTTACCAATTTGTCAAAAAAAAAACTCTTGGGAAGCAAGCTGAAGAGATTTCACCTTTCTGCTTTCTAGATGAATACTTTTAAGCAACAATTTTTTTCTCTTCCTTTCCACTGTGTTTGAGTTCTAGCTTGAACATACAGTACCAAGAGTATAAATCCAAACATTTCCCCTGGGCTTTATTCACATGGAGTAAAGGTTAACAGCACACCCCGAAATTTAGACGGCTGTTGCTGAAATGAGTCTTAAGGGGGTGACATCGCCATCCACAACAGGCCTAGTGTTACTGCGCAGTTATACTAGCAAACTCAGAGGAAGTTGCCATTGCATTGCAGTTAAAAGGTCATGTTGTGTAGTTGGGAAACAGGCTGCTTGTTGTGGTGTGGTATCCTTAACTTTCTGTACCAAGATAGGCCACAGAGCAGACATTTCAAGCCGCCTGCCTGTATCTGGCTCGTGGTTTGGACTCACGCCCTCAGAGAAGACGACAGGCTGAAAATACTGAGCCCAGACGCTGAAATATTAATTGCTGACTAGCTGCTTTTACTCTTGTGATTGAGAGCTTGAAGGCTGGTGGTAGGCATGGTACTGTCTTACCTTCTGTTCTGAGGAAACTCAGAATGCCTTGTCAAGGGCATAATGATACAGGAGACCAATTGAAGCGCTTTTTATGAAGATTAACTGCTTCTCCCAACAGACCACTTTGGCCAATTGATTGTTAGGAGATGATGGAGTCTTCTGTGAAGAAATGAGAGAAATGTAAATGGGTCCAAAAAAAACTTTCTAAGTAATTTTTTAAGTAATGGCAATTCTAATTGGCTGAAATCACTCAAAGCATTAAAGTGCATGGGGAAAGCAAACGGCAGGAAACGTCGGGACTCCAGAGCTGGTTATTGAGTGAGGTCCTGTCTGGAGTACCTTCACGCATAAAGATTACAGGTCTGAATGCAGACTGTGCCACTCGATTTCACCAGATAATAACCTGAAAAGGAGACATCAGCCATAAAGGAAATGTGTTAGAATAGAGAGATAATTGTGAATATTGGTTTTCTTGTTTGGGACTAGAAGTACTACTGGCAAAACAACAACAACTGTATATTCTGAAAGGACTAGGGATTTCTAGGGGCCTATAATAAGTTAGTGGTTTCTAATATTAATGAGAATGACACTGCAGGGAGGTTCACTAGCTCAGGGAAATTCTGGATGAGTCAGTGGCAGAGCTGGTATGTGAGCTGGGAAACCCTTGTTGACTTCCTATTTACCTTAACCATTGCACAATCACAACTTGTTTAAACTCGGCTAAGTGGGGATTTTGTGTAGGGAATAGGAGAGCCTTGGGCTTGATTCCAGCATCAGGTGCCTTCTGTGTGGAGTCTGCATGGTGCATGCTGTATATTGGCTAGTTTTGTGCTGCTCCAGTTTTCTCCCATAGTCCACAGACATGATGCTGTCCAGATGAATTGGCGTCTCTAAGTCGTGCCACATGTGGGAGATCGGTGCCTCATCATGGCATGCACCCTGAGTCTGCCAGGTTAGACTGTGGCTCCCTGCGCATGATAAAACAGTTGTAGTTACAGAATATCTGGCAGAAAAGACACAGCCCAGCATTATTGACAGGTGTTTTAGTGACACTATCCAGAGTGCTTCACAGGTGTTCAGTGGGAAAGTGAGAAAGCCACTGTATCTACAAACCCTGAGCCTCTGAAACGCTGAACATGTTAGCTGTTCAGAAAGCAGTGATAGTTTGTCCTTTCATTTGTCCTGTTTAGAGCGCCACAGAATTCAATGCCTCTTGTTTGACATGTTTTCATTCTCTGACGCTAAGATTTTCTGCTGATAACCAGTATTTGCAGTTATGGGACAGTCAGCCAGTCAACTTATAAGATATACTGTACAGTAAAATATATTATTCTTTTTTCCCTCTTGTAATTCTCCTGTGCCGGCAGAATTTGATCTTGTCAAGCAAGGCCTATGTACAAAAAGGTTGCACCCTATTTGGTCATCCGAGAGCTGCTTTCCTCCTTTGAGGTAGATTATTAATTATTAATTGGTGGCTGTGTGGGAGAAGAAAGGGTATGATGTTCAAGAGGGTTCTGTTAATGAGCAGGGGGATTGAACAAGTAACGTGGTGTGGGAAATACTCACTAGTTTGATCACTACTAGTTTTACTCGTTTTGTTTAAATAACCTCGAAAACAAACTAATTAGGCTACCCAGTTAGCCACACACACAAATATACAGTATGTGGTACAGTATGTACTGTACATGATATACAGTATGTGGTATCAGAGTTGCTTTTCTGCATTTGCCTGTTTTGTGCATATACCTTTTTCAAGCCCCAGTAAGCCCTCTTTGCTGTTTATGCATTTCCTGGAATTGTTTCCTTTATGGCACAAAACAGCACACACCTCCCCTCGACTTGAAAGTCAAGCTTGTTAAGCCAGACTGCAGAAGGCCAGGGAGGTTTCGGAGGAGTTCAGTTTATGAAATTTAAAGGGGAATTAAAATGAATTATGGTTTTGAAGATTTGCTGTTGCAGTGTTTTTGTCCAGTGCCCCTACTGTAATTAAGTGTAGTGTATAAAAGCTATACAGCACATGCCATATACATTTTAATATGAACCCATTAAAGGTGCTTGTGGTGCAGTTCTGCTTTTGTTTTTTCTCGGGTACATTTTAGCTCGGCAGTGTACTGTACAATTAATCCACTTCAAGTCCACTTGTCCAAGTGATGACTGTACCAGCATGAAAAAGCAGCTCATTCAGAAATCACACCTGAAGAAGGCTCCACGGCCAAAACGTTGTGTTCTCTTTCTTCTTTTTTTTCAGCATGGAATAAACCTATTACTTGTTCCTTTGCAGCCTACGCATGCTGACGCAGCTCCCCACCTGAACTACTACTCATTCAGAAATTAGTCTGTGCGTGATTATATCAGAGCATAGCCATTTACACTTCAGTATTAACTTATAATTACCCCTCTAAGAAGATTAATTAAGGAGATACAGAAGACCAGATTGCAAGTTTGAATTGGCAGAAATGCAGCTGAGAACAGAAATGTATAAATCTTTTAGTTCTGGTGGATCAGCAATTCAGGCTTCACCATGGTCCTCATGTCCTCACTCCTTGTTTATTATTTAACTTAGAGGCGCCGCTGTATGAAGTAGGTTTCTTTCTGAAACATCAAGGCACGTTCTCAGCGCAGTCTCCTGCTGAATGCATAATTCTCCTCTGCCTGCAAGCGTGCGGCTCACTGACCGGAGCTTGTGATTGAGCCTGTGAGCTCTGCAGCTGCTGGATCCATGTTTGTCTGTACCTGTATCTGACTTCGTCTGTGTAATAACACACCCACTGGGACTCAAACCAGGCTCTCTCCCTGGCTGATGTTCTCTCTCCGGGGGTGCCTGATCTGGAAAGATGTAGAATAGATTAAAAACAGTGTGGATGGGGACTGCCTGGTGGTTTCTGAGGTTTTCTTCCTTTTCTATCAGCCTGCTAGGAGGGATATGAGCGAAAAAACAGGCAAGGTACATGCCAAGGAAAAGCAAACCAGTATAGGAGTTTTATTTTCATAGATGTTTCTGTCCAAAACCTACTTATAAAATGAAGACCAATCCCTTACATTAAAAAGAAATGAACACATTCATTAAATTGTTCAATATAAAGTAGCTTTGAAGTCCACTTCTAGCAAAGTTTTTGGTTTCACTTTTAGATCTTAGTTTGTGTAACTATCAGTATAATCAGCCCAAATAAAAGAGAGGTTTAATTAGCATTTAGCATGTTTATACTATGCAATATTTATACATATATACATATATATAATGGAAATATAGAGTTGCATTTGTGCTTTCTAATATATTTTTACACACCTTATAAATAAAATGGCTGGATTTATTTGTATCTGTTTTATCTTTGAAAGCTTTTTTCCTCACTGACTTCCAGTATCTCTTGTTTTGCTCAAGAGCATCAGACATGGTATTTTATATCCTCAGTGAACTGTGTCTAAGTGATCACTAGCAGGTAGAAATCAATATCAATCCTGCTAGTGTGCTGTTATTTTCATAACTGTGCTGTTATTTCATCATTTATAGTTGCCTGTGAATGTTTGCCTTTATTTCAGTCATGATTTTTCTTCTTATCCAGACATCAGTCGAGGAATTAGCTACTTGAGCTGCATGACTGGAGCACATTCTGGCTGTATTTGAAGGAAAAATAACTCTGAACTCTGTAATGACTGCGAAGTGGACCTATCAGAACATGTTCCAAACTGTAAATGAGACAAATTTAGGGGGAAAAATAACATGAACGTTTGGTTTCTTAATCAAAACTAATTGCATTCGTCCTACGCCATGACACAGCCATGGTCAGCTAGAACGAGATGTTTGAAACTGCTCTAATGAGCTCAGCAATGGTTTCTGGATTAGTACCCAATGAAGGTTAGAGAATGGCTGTGGAGAAAGTGCCAAGGTCTAAATTAAAAAGCCTGGAACAATTCAAGATAGGGATATTCTCAGAAATGTCAAATTTCCCAGCAGAGTACCTGTTACCACGGTTCTTAATAGATTCAGCTCCAGTAGCCTGGACTCGAATTTCCCTCTGGAGAAACTCTTCTGTGTCTCTGAAATGAAGAGTGGCAGGGAAGTGATTGAGAGAAATGAGAAAGAAGGAGACAGAACTACAAAGAGATGCATACTTCATCTTCTTGTGCTTTTATGTGCCCGTAATAAAGAAGAAAACGCTGCATCTTACAGTACATATTCCATCAGTGCTTACTGTAAAGATATACACAAATGTGTTCTGCTGTACCGGAGTCTTTTCATGGCCAGGTTGCAGCTTAATCTTCTCTAAATAAATAGTCATGTACAATGTAGTCTGTCCATACTAACACTTCACATTGTATTTATAGGATTTGCTGACTCTTACATCTTGGTAGACAGTATAAAGACCCCCTTGTATTCAATATCCAAGTGCAGGGAACAAACATACTGTATTATTGTCAGAGCAGCACTTACTCAGTCCTGCAGTGTTTGATGCCAGTTAAGACAGGACCATTTGTCCAAGAGTCTGGACAGTGTCAGTTTGAGTGGGGGCAAACCCATTATCTGACTGTGACCAGGATTCCTCAAGGCGTGGTACTCGACTGTCGGGGGTTTTGTTGCGTTTCAACCAGTCACGGTATTTTCAGCAGCGCCCCTGTGACTTGTGTCTGTGAACGTCCAGTATCTGTGAGATACTGACTCCACCGTGGTATCTGTGGGGCCTGTGAAGTGAAAAATGGCAGATGACTCTCACAAGCACAAGGAAGGTTTACTGGATTTTGTGTTTCCTGTGCTGGTTGGAGAGCTGCTTTAAACCCAAGCCCATTAAACTGTGGAGAATCTAAATTGGACGGGGTTATTTAAAAGAAAATAATTGGCAATTGAAATATTTTTTGTGGAAAAAATGAGTGGTTAGCATTACTGCATCGCAGCGCTGGGGCTCTGGGCTCAGTTCTTAGGGTGGCACGTACATGGAGTTGTATCTTCTCCCCCTGTTCATGAGGGTTTCCTCCCACAGTCCACAGACGTACTGGTGGATTAATTGCCATCTGGGAAAACTGGCCCTGGTGTGAGAGTGTGTCTGCGTGATGGACTGGCGTCCCATCCAGGCCGTACCCTGCCCTGTCCCCTTTGCTCGCTGGGATGGGCTCTGGCTCCCCCGCTACCCTGAATTGGATAAAGTAGATGAATGATGGATTTACTTTTCAAAACCAGTTCATAGGTGCGTCTAAACAAATCTTACTACAGCTGAGTGACTGGAACTGCAGGGTTTTCTGAACAGGAAGCAGGCCTCATGTGGTACCAGTGCTATCCTTTGATGTTTATTTTTAACACAAACAGGTGCATGGGTTATAAAGAATGAGAATCAATTCTGTCAGAATTAAGATTAAGCCAGTATAGGTTAAACAGGTGAAATATTTTTTCTTGTTAGGTGGGAACACATTTTCCTGCTGGAAAATGTTCTTACTTAGTTCTAAATATGTACAGTGCTGTGCAAGAGCCTTGGATATTTTAGGCAAATTCGGTGAATTAACATATGTTATAAGCATCACCAGTTGGCTCAAAGCCTCCATTAACGTTTTCAACCATTCTAATAATTTTGACTATTTTTCCTATAGTTTAGTTATTGTGCGAAAAAAAGTTTTTGATCAGTAAGTGTTCAGAATCTTCAATGATATGATCTCAGAAACTCAAGGTAATGATGAGCCAATAAGAAATGTTATAGCACCTAACCAATCACATTCACTAAACAGATCTATTTGACTCATTGTCAGGTGTTCCTTGTCAAGAATATCACTTATCCCCTGTCAGTAACAATGACAAGTCACATTTGTTCCCCTGAATATGTTGGTAATGCAAAAAATCTGCTTTTTGCACTACAGAATACAGAACTATCTAGATTGTTTGTTTCAAACAAAACTGCTGTAGAAGCCACTACAGACTTGTTTTACTATAAAGAGAGGAAACTGTCAAAACTAGCACTGTTGCAGTGTTGTTACATGTGGATGCGCTGATTTATTAATTGGTGCGTTTTGTTTTAGGTCTAGCTGGGAGCTCCCTGATTTAAGGGATGGTAAAATGCAAGCAATAAGTGACTCTGATGGGGTGAACTACCCCTGGTACGGCAATACGACGGAGACCTGCACCATCGTCGGCCCCACCAAGAAGGACACGAAGTTCACGGTCAGAATGAACGACAACTTCTACCCCAGCGTGACCTGGGGTGTGCCTGTGAGCGACAGCAACCTGCCCCAGCTGACCAGCATCCGCAGGGACCAGAGCTTCATCACCTGGCTGGTGGCCATCAACCAGGCCAGCGGGGAGACCGTCGTTCTGCAGACCATCAAGTGGAGGATGCAGCTGCACATCGAGATCGACCCCGGCAAGCCCCTGGGCCAGCGTGCCAAACTGCTGGAGCCCACCGCCCAGGAGCAGCCCCAGGTCCTGGCCAGGAACGAGCCCATCCCGCCCAACGCCATGGTGAAGCCCAATGCCAACGACGCGCAGGTCCTGATGTGGAGGCCAAAAACCGGGGAGCCTGTGGTTGTTATACCTCCGAAATACTGACCCGCCTGGCACGGGGGGGCGGCTTTTCTTCCTTCATCTTTTTTTACATCAAAAACAATGAGTAAGAGATATAACAAGACACCCCCAAGTGGCAAAGCTATGGATGTCTCCTGGACTAAACAAGTGCAACCATTCTACCTTTAAACTGGGTCGGGTATCACTGTGCTAAATGAAATCATTGCAAAAACAGCTAGAAGTTTTTTTTTTTGCTTGGCATTTTTTGAACATTATACGAGAATACATATGTGTATATACAAATATACACATATACTCACATGCACATACCTTTTTTAAACTTTTTTTCCGGGATAGGAAGGGTGGGGGGGGATTACAGAATTTTTTCATACAGAAAAAAAAATGTATATTTGCTCCAAAGCTGGAGGGGGGAGGAACAAAGAGAAAAACGTTGTTTTGCGTAAAGGAACATGCAATACTTTTTTAAAGTGCGAGACGTCAAATCCATGCTGCCTTACGTTTGCATTGCTTTTCATTGCGGACTTTTGCCTTAAACGCTGTCTGATGCACTGTCCATCCCAGAGTGACTCTGGGAGGGGGTCTGGCAAGACCCTCACCCAATCAACATGCCCTCTCTCCTGGCGAGCCGGCAGCTACCCCCAGAAAAAACAAGTGAATAAACAAAGTTGTTTGAAGAAATATTTAGGAACTTTTGGTACAGCTTGGAAATGTCATGTTTTCAAAATCTGATTATCAGATCAGGAAGCTCTGCACAGCTAACACAGCGACACTCCAGTCTTACAAGAGTGAATATTTTTGTCATTCAGTGTTCGAGAAAACCTGGAAGAATGTAACAAACTGTCAGAAAAAAGAACCCCTAGTTAGGCTGTCACAGTTAGAAGCTCACAGAAACCTGTGACCTGAGTATTTACGCTATGCAGTAATTTTGTGGACGTACAGTACCTAAAAGAACCAGAAACTCCAATTGTACTGTGATATTCTCTCCTGCCACTACATCTGCAAACAGATCTTTCAGAGCCAATAATGTCGCTGGCACTGAGTCAATGAAATTATTAATAAGCCATCATGACAGAATGGTAGCCCGGAGAGTAACATCACATTTAAAAATGTAGGTGTGGAGGTATATTCCCTAAGGACCATTGGAGTACTACCTTGATCTGTTTCTGAGATTGATCATTTCAGAGCTGCATACCACTGAAAGACTGGTAGACTGCTGGTAGGTCCAACAGTCTGTGATACAAACTTGCTCATAAATAAAATACAACTAGAGCACAGTTAAAAGTGCATCTTACCACTACTGTTCATGTTGAGTGCATTTTGCAACAGGTCTGCTGTAGGCAAGGTGTGAAACACTGGGGGACAGACTCTAGTTACACCCCCCAGACCTCCGTTGTGCCAGTTTGCAACAGGAGGAACAGTATTCTGTCGCCAGTTCTCTTCAGGAGAGCAAAAGTGATGAGAGAGACGGTGTTGATCTAAAGGATGGCTTTAATTTGGTGAAGTTTGTAAGCTAACAGAATAAAACTGCCAGGTTCCTCGAAGGCACATCACACACACTTACCTTAACAAATGGAAAAAACGAACCTTAAAAAGATGACTACTTCTGAAACTGTGTAATAAGCTGTGATTCATGTCCTGTGAAAGAACAGGGTACATTAATCAAACAGAAAACAGCAACAGTACTGAGATGGACTTAGGATGGTCCAGAGTTAGAGCGTGGTACATTTGATTTAATTAGAAACTAAACTGTGGAAGAGGCAAACCCCAGGTTGAAAAGGAGCATCCTGCAAACCTAAATAGAGTGGGATCAAATTAATTCCTTCCCATACTGCTGTTTCTTTTGTAATTTCCCTTCCATACGTCACCTCTCAGGAGGGGGCAGGGCAAAAGTGTTATTAGAAGCCCCTCTGCAATTCTGAAACATTGTTAATTACAATACCAGCAGCTCATTCGGCCTGTGTCTGGGTGTTTGTCACACACTCCCACCCTCAGGCTTTGCTAACAAATGGAAGTATAAACTTGAGAGAATTATACAGGAGAACATGGAAACGTTATTTGTCCTGCACCAGCAATCGAGGAGCTCCAGCTCTGCACTAGATGAAGTGTTACTCACTAGTGTTAAAAACTGGTGAGGAAAGTTTCATAAACCAAAGCTTGCAAAATCATCTGAGCCTTGTCATTTCAAAATGCACACAAACCAGGGGGGTGCTTGTCAGTGTGGAGCTGGGGGTTGAAGTTGAGTGCATTGCCATTGATATTGCATATCATTACAGATGGTGTTGGATTGCGTGCACAAACTCAGGCTTGTAGAGAACAGAGTGCCCCAGCAGTAAAGCCCTCAAACCAAGTTGCACTTCAAATTAGAGAGGGAGGAGAGGTCACACGTTAATAATAGGCATGTGATCAGGCTGTGGTCACACTAGTGGGTGAGTTACAGCCAGGTCCTGCGGTACGATATGCTTTTTGTCTCCTCTGCCACTCCCTCCTGACTGCAGCCCAGGATCTCAATTAGTAATGAATGTGCTCATGGCAGAGGGATACCGTATCTTTAAATCATGTGCTTCACAATGAATCTGCTGTCTCATCCCTAAACTGCAATATACTATAGAATGTGGTAAATATTCGCTCGGGTCTGCTGGCTTCTTACTGGGTTAGAATGGAGAATATGCAGCATGACAAAACACTGAGAAAGAGGTCAGTTTGAGTCTTTGAATGGTTGTTTGTGGTACTCAAGGCTGAAGAGAATGATTTCCCTAGAGAAATTAATTGATATTTTGCAGAAATACCAACTCAAAGCAAATAGAGAATATTTCTGTCATTTTAACACCATTACCAAATTGTCTGGTTTGTAAAGTAAAACCTGCATGGTGATTCACTAGCTAATCACTAGTGAAGTCAGCACTTGAAGTTTTCTTTTGTCCAAGTTACAATTAAATTATTGTACAATTGTTGTACAATTAAATTATTGTATTTACTATATGTGGTCTATATATTGATCATATTCAGTGTTCACACTAAAGAAGCATTCCTACTTAGGAAGCCCCCCTTTGTAAGAACAGGTGTCCCCCCAGATAGAGTTATAGGGGTGTCATTTTCCTTAAAAAAAAAATATTCCCTGAAAGAACCCCTTCCCCATCTCTGGAACAATGATGTCATGACACACCCTTCATCCCGGGCCTATGTTAACTTGAAGGCTCAAGCAATTAATTAAAGGCAATTTGAGTGCTGGCCATATGTAGCCACTGAGTGTGCTGATGTGGGTATGTGGTATATTTGGCTCTCAATTGGGAATGCCCTCAAAAAAATTCAGGGGAATACCCTGAACAAATTCCAGATGAACAGCATACTCTCCATTGTTGCATTCGATTATTATGGAGACTGATGATGACCGATCATTATTTTTTAATCAGGCAGGCAGATGCAGTTTAGGGGTGTTTAGAGCGTCATCTTACCATCTGATTTTTGCTCTTCGGAAAGGATCTGTATTTTTACAGGTTTAATGATTAAGGGAAAAAAAAACTAATGAACCTAAATTTGAGAGCTGCTGGATAATTCTGTGTGTTCTTTGCTTTTCTGTCCACTGCAGAAAACCTGATCTTTAAAGTCAGTAGGTTTTTCAATTAGTTACTGAAAGTGCTGTCGTTCCCACTTACAATCACAGTCATGAATTAATGTAACAGGCTAGGCTCTGTGACACCTAATTTAAAACTTTTCGTTCTTTATGTGCTTTCAGAAATAGTTGCTCTGTAGGTATTAAAATACAAAATTGTCAAAATCCATCTCTTCAAAAATTGCCTGCAGGTGCTATTTCAATATACCATTCACGGTACAAAGTACTGTTATCCAAAACGATATCATGGAATATTTAACAGAACATTAGTCATAAACTCCATGATGCTCCATTTTGAGAATTGAGACCTTAAAGAGCAAGTACTGTATCTGGTTTCCGAACAATCTAGTGTGACACAAGTAACATTTATCGCCATAGTTGACATCCCTCCATTAAATATGGAAATATTTATCTCAGTCCATTTTGAAGATGTGAGATCAAGCAGTCTGTGACATTTTGCAGACAAAAAATCAAAAATACAAAATGTACTTCTCTCATCCTGTTTCTTATAATAACATTAGTTGTACAGATAATACTAGCTCAGAAATACAGGAAATAATAATTACCATATTCCAAAACCAATGAGAAACTAAAGGGACAATTTTATGTTCACTGTAGAAAAACCAATACATTGAAGAACATTAGAAGAAAATAGAGTGAAAGGGAATACTAGACTTTATTGTAAAAATAATTGTCAAGAAATTCACTTTTGAAAAAATAGCTGCAGTCTTGTTACATAAAACAACTGATATTTATGGAGAAGTGTCATGCTGTGGTCCTTTACAGTGTAATGGGTACAAGGAATTGATTTCTAATGATCAGCAGTTTTATGAGCCTCTGAAATCTTTCATTTACGCAATATTTTAAAAATAATCTCATCCTTGTAGGAGAAACCAGGTCATTATCTTCATTTGGATTTCATTGTTGATGTTCTTTCGAAACAGTTCAGTTGGATAGTTTTTAATATCTTGGGAGTGGCAGGCTTCTGAATGTTGAAGACGGACAGTCGGTGTCCGTTTTAGCATTACTGACAACTTGTGTCTGGTGAAGACCAGCTCCCACAGAGGGAATCTAATACAGAATCTTAAAGTGATTCAGTCTAACAGGTGCTGTGGTGTCACTTTCAGGAATTTCAGGCCACCTGCAATCTTTTATTTGAAGATTACAGAATACTGCTGCAGTGGCCTGCCTTCTGGAGAGGTGCCACTGCTGCTGGCTTGCCTTGTTGCACAACCGTTCAGATCCAGTACCCTGCTTCACAGCCTTCTGGTTGCTTTTAGGCTTTTAGCACCATGTTGTGAGAACACTTGACCTTAAAGGATTATCAGTCTGAATGCAGGCGCCTAAGTGTTCTATAAAGAGTGTTGTGCAATGGATCTCATTACTCACACCAGGCCACTGCTCCTTTTCGCTGCCACCCTGTGAAGCTGTGATCCGCAGTGATTCTAGAGAGAGCTGCATTCTGTCCTCAAGTCCTGCCGCGTCAAGCTGTACAGTAACTCTGAAGACTGGCTTTGCGTCTAGTCACGAGAAACAAATTTGGACACTTACAGGAAACATGATTGATAAGAATTCTGTGAAACTGTTGTGAGGTACGAGATTTTTTCATTGCACGGTTCCGAGAAAGATGCTGATTTTCTTTTTTTTATTTGACAGAGTGTCCCTCTCTCTTTTCATTATTCTTGACATGACAAACTCAAGAGCTGTCCATGATGTATCTCAGCCACCTTGTGGTGGTAGTTTGCTTGCTATAATTCTTTGCTGACCATTGTAAGAGTTACTTGTGAAAGACGTTTTTTATTTCTTAAAATGTCCTCATGGTGTTGTAACCAGGCACTGCACTGGTGTTATAACAGAGAACACTGAAATTGAATATGCAGGCCCATTGGAAAGAAAAGGGTTAATAGAAGTGGGATAGTTCTTAGGTTTCAGACGATTCCTCTGCTAATTTATATTGCAGCAAAAAAATACTGATCATTTACATATATACTTGACAATGGGACATCACTGGAAAATATTGGAAACTGTGTAAAATGCACAATGTTAAACATAAACTTAAGAACAAACCTGAGAAAAAGAAATAGAGAAATGTTGTTTTTGATGAATAAAGAAAATGTGCGAAAGCAGTAAATGTGTTTAATTGCACTCTTGGCACAGCAGGTACACCGAATACTGCACAACAGCAGGGTCTGGACTTTCATTTCCATCTGTTACCCTGGGCATGAGGGTGCCAGGACATTCAGTAGGAGAAGGATTTTGTGTCATTATTGGAAGACTTTCTACAGGCCTTTTTTCCCCAAATTGGAAATTCTGTGGTTGTTATTCACAATTTTACTTGGTTTTGAAGTACTAAGGGATTCAAGTTTTGGACACTTCATAGAGCACATTGCACAGTAATTATTACCACAATATAATTATTTCTGTAAGTGTTCCATTCTCATTTGGCTCACCTTGTGTGTACCCTCCTTATTAATTCTGTTAAATTATTGAAATTAATTTAATTTAATCAAGCCTTTACTGCGCTTTGTTTAGTAGTCTTTGATAAAACTCTCATTGAAATGTCTCTTGATCAGCAGATATTTTATTACACAGCCCTCAAAAGCATTTAGTGAGCAAAGGCATGATATTGTAGCAGTGCTATTTCCAGCAGCAACACAGTGAATCCACAGGAGAGAGTGAATATAAGACCAGCTCTAAATCCTGAGAGTCACGGTAAAGAAGAACTGTATCTGCTATCTGTATTTGAACAGATGATGAACAAAAAACAGACAATATCAGAACAGCATGTATTTGACCTACATAACATCTTGCCCCTGTATGAATACAAATCATTCATCTTTCATCTTACCTTATATCGCTGCGGATCGCTCCTGCATCCCTGTCCCGGTCCTGGAGTCCGGCCACCAGCCCACACCCATCCGGGCCGGGCTCGTCCCCGCGTCCACGCCGGGCTCCCACCGAGGAAGGCTGGACTGCTGTGAATAACTGCGCAAGAACTAAGCTGTTCTCCTGAAAACATCTGGAATATACCATGTGGCATCTGTTCATATTCAAACGCTATTGAAAGCTATAAAGAAGGTGACAGGAGATTTACACATCCTGCATACCCACAAGTCTTTGTCTGAGTTTGTGGATTAGGTGCACATTCAGTAGGTAGACCTCGTACCTGGGTTGAGGGATGGAGTCTCTTCTTGTAAAAGCTTGAAACGGGAATATGACTGTTGAAATCGTTCAGCAAATGACAGAAAATACCAATTTTATTCAGCCGTGCCGAATGCTGTTAGTGTGAAATAACACACTGACACTTGTTAGGTTTCTGTTGCACAGTGCATTAAGCCTAGTGAGAGCAACTGTTGCTTCACCTGGGAAAATAAATAGCCTGTTTGAAGTGATCTGAAGTGAGCAACAGAGCGTGACTCGAATATTGCCAAACTGGAAGCAACAGAAAACTAGAGTTCAAGCACTTTATCAAATGATTATTTTCACTGCCTTTTCTAATGCAAACACTTTGACTTTGCAGGAAGCTTAGAGTCAGCTAATTTTTATGCAGCCTCCTAGTCAGCTTTTTTGTGTTTCTGCTGAATCACAGGACACTATTACTTAAATTTCAACAGATTCCTCCTCTCATTATGTGCAATACTCAGTGTAAGTACTGCAGTGTTGTATCTTAAAATTAACAACTACTACTTGCAGTCAGAACCCTTGAGTGTCCAATAAACATGGAAGAGGTATCACTGATCAACCTTGTTTCAGTAACAGCAGACTGCAACTATTTATAACGTTCTTTTTAAACATTGACTTGAATATGTATTAATAAAACATCACCTGGCACTTTTTTGGATCAAATTTTAAGGTTGATTTTTACAAGAAACATCAGAAAAATAACAATATAACCAAGCAGCAGTGTAACAAGTTTAAAACGTTTCCCCTGAAAGTATTCTTTTGGCAAGTTCAAGTCTCCTTCAGAAGCGACATTTGTTTTTAAACTTTACAAGGCTCTATACATTTCAGCAATACACACAGGTGACAAACATCTAGCTCGGACAGTTCTTTAATGGGCTATCATTCAGGCTTTGATCTTGGACGTCACACTGCTGTTGTCACCAGTGACTGAACCTGCTGCCCTCACAGAGCCTTGGATCTGAGTCCCACGTCTGCTGTCTAATTATTTTCCTGGTCTTGATGTGGTCAGGGGAGCAGCGATGCTGTTCAGGAGAGAGTAAGAGCCAATGCATACTTGCCATCAAAGCCAAACCTTACTAACACCAAGGACATTTTCTGCTTTGACCCTATTAACATTTCCAGAATAAATTAATTTTACGGGAGCTGGAGAAACTATGCAATATCTTTGCATAAAAATACGGACCCAGGGCCCTGAGGCTGATTACATAAAACACTCTTGCGCATTAAATTTGACAATTATAAATACCCCTTCCCTCAGAAAGACTATTGACTTGATTTCGCTAACATACATGTTGCTTAAGTATTGATTTAGGTTCCTATTGCTCTTCATTAAATCTCCTTTACAGCCTATTTTATTGTGATTTCCTCAGTTCAGTTCCCTACTCTTCACCCTCAGACATGCTCAGGACTGTGATGCTGACTGTTCCAATGAATGCACTGCTCCACAGTGATGCTTCTGTAGTTCACTGTTGGCTCTCATCGCTGTATCACATTCAGTAACAGAGGTAACTTTAGCTACACATGCTGCCATGGCAAGGCAAGAAAGCAATGTTAGGGCAATGCTCTAAAATCAACACTATCTTTGACTATTCTGCTTAAGCAGTTCCTTACACTCAGTGGTTTCCTCAACAAAACATATTGGATGCATTATGCAAATGCTGTCTAATAAATTGATTTATAACTGTGCACTGTTGGTCAGTGTCTTCAATATGCAGAAGCTGTTGTCTGTTGTATTACACAGTCATCAGTTTTTAAGACAAAACACTGGAGTAGCATAACACCTGCTATACTAAATAACCATGCAGCACTCTTCACTTTCTTATTTCATGTCAGACTAGACGAGGTCAGCATGTGCTTCCACAATGAGTGTGGCAGTCATTTGTTCTTTAGTCCATGATGTTAATCATAGATGATCTCTTAGCATTTGACGTTAACCACAGATACTGGGGAACCTGTTTCATACATGACCTTGTTTGACAAACAGGAATTAATAAATACATTTGGGGGCTCCTGAAGACTCAGTGCCCTAACGTCCACAGACCGATGATCCAAGCAATGTTATCAGCCGCTTTGACTCATATGCAGTAAATGATGAACGTCCAGTGTTCTCTGGACCCAATGGCATCAAATTACACGAGAGCTCCCTTGACTTAACAGCCACCTGCTGTTTGACCTTGCAGAGGTATCAGAGAGAGCTGCATCGGTCCTCCACATGGAGCTGATCTTAACTGTGAATACTGTGAGAAAGAGGAGGAGACGATGCAGCACGTTTCAGCGATCAAGAGCATGGAGTGCATAACTCTCGGGCTGGAGTGAGGACTGGAGCAAAGAACCAAGACAATTAATATCCAAAGCTTCCAAAATTAGAAAGTATTAAAAGAGAATTTGCAGTGCAGCACATACCTACTGTACATAAAAAATAAATAGCAATGCATATCACGAGAAGTTTCCAAAATATGAGGAAAAGGGAGTCAGATTTAATTGTTCTGGTGGAGAATTAAATGTATTGGATACGAATCTGAGGAAATCTGTGAGGTTATGTTCTGAAAAACCAGCGAACTGACTGTGATGCCATTTAATAATGTTCCAGGGTTCACCCACAGAGCACAGTATACGTGAATTAAAAGATTATCTTGCTTATACAAAGCCAGTGCAATGAAGTAACATATGCGAGACTCAAATATCTGGGGTCCTTTGATTTTATATAACATGTTCTGTGGATTAAAAAAGGAAAAATCACTGGGCTTTAAAATACTTAATCCATATTATCTTTAATATGTGGTTTTCTCCCTCAACATCAGAAAAGCAGCTTTCAATCCAAGTTAAAAAAGAACCGAAGTGAAAAAAAATGCTACATCTGACAAAACTGAATCTGTGTGATTTATGAATCTGTTCCCTGCAATTTTCTGACCACTTTTCCTAAATCACGGTTGCAGGGGAGCCAGAGCCTATCCCTGCACGCAGTGGGTCCATCACAGGGCACACACAGACACACACACTCACGCCAGGGCATCCAGAGGAAACCCACAAGAACATGCAAACTCCACACAGCCAGCACCCCAGAGCTGGAGCTGAACCCAGGGCCCCAGCGCTGCGAGGCAATGATGCTATCCACTGCCCACTGTGCCACCCACACACTGTCTAAAGATGTATTTGTATGTGTATACAGTCTGCTTTACCATTGCATAATCGCAGGGTGCAACACAATATAAGGACGATTCCCTCATTAATGCTGGGAGACAGCAACATGGCTGATATACTCTTCAATGTGTAGTTACAGTATGTGTAGTTTATTCTGATTCCTTAAGTAGCTCTAGTGGGTAGCTAGGGTTCACTTAGCACAATCGTTAAAACCTGCAGTCCAATCCATTTCCTGGCCTTATTTAGAGCTTGTATTCAAGCTCTTCCGCTGCGATACAAAGAGACAACTTGTCCAAATCTCTAGAATTCAATACCTGTTACTCGGCGTAGATACTTTGTGTATCTCATAAGAGCGGAGATTTAAGGAGACTAGATGAGGGGAACTGTAAAGATTAACGATACATTTTGCAAAGTCACTGTCACAGCAAGCTACTTCAAGACCAGAGGGTGCCATGATTACAGTGGAACATTTTCAAATCAACAATATAGTTAATATCATTAACAATATTGTGTTGTGCTTAGTCATTGGAATGTTTTCATTTCAACACTGTCATGTTTGATACAGAAATTGATTCCTTGATCTGTGTTTGGTGAATTTTTTTGTAATTTAATAAAACTAATGGTTAAAATAGATATCTAAAGCCCAAGTGCTGTGTTTTTTTATCCTAACGCACATATTCACTTTTTTGCATCATGTGCTGCAGGGTTCCTGCAGGGAGTTTCTCGAGGATTGTGCACGACTTCCCTGACATCTCAGCAACCTGAAAAGACCATCGCCAGCCCCCTGCACAACCTCTTCCTC